GTTGCTGTTTCATCAATATGAAGATTTAAAGCAAGTTTTGCTGTTATATTTGATATTAAATTTGCTTTGATTCTTGTTGACTTATTGAACATGGTGGTAAAATTAATTTAGCATTTAGATTTATATTAGGTATCTAAAATAAATATTTGATTTTGAATTACTAAATTTAACACAAGATTAATATTGATTAAATGTATGTCTATCTTATTATTTCATATCTAACATATCAATTAAACAAAGAACAAGTAATAGTAATAACTTTGTTAAAATCTCAGTCTACCGGCTTATTCCTTTTTTGAAACAGAATACGAAGTCTTCTTATTTTGTTTTTATTCTACATTCTAATGAATATCAAGCAGAGAAAATAAACTAAACTAACTATGACATGGTGATTATTTGAAATGTCTTTTAAAAAAACATGTTATCATTCAATGTCGTAATAAAGTTCGAGAATCATCATAAACTTCTTTATACAACAGTACAGAAAACTCTTTAGATAAATGATGTGTTGAATACAATTAAAGATTGTTTAGAAATTATTTAATAGCTCAAAAAATTGATATATTTACATGAAAACCTATAACTAGTTTTCAAGTCTTTCAATTGAAGATATTAGAAAACGAAAAATAAAACTTTCTAAATTGCTTTAATTTTTTTAAAAACCCTCTCGGACGAAGTATTAACATGGGAGTATTTTTTTATCCATAATATATTACTTTTTCATCAAATGATTCTATTGTATAAAAAAAGACATAACATAATTCCATCTCATAGAGAAAAAATATAAAATATTACTTTGATTGCATTGTCTAAGAAATTTCATCCGTTCTTCAACATTCTCTAATAAGATTGCAATTTGAAATTGTCTACTAACATCTTTTCGTACTTCAGCTAAACAATAAGAAACTTTTCAAACCAATTTTCATCATTTTTCAAAACAGATAATTGAAACTATTTAAAAGAAACCATAAATAATTTACATCAATATTTCTATATTCAAGTGCTAAGCCAAATCTTGGTTTTGCATCATTTGTTTTCAAGATGAAGATTTTTGAAAAGAAATTTATAAATTTTACTTCATCGTATTTTCTATTACTTTAACTTTTGCTTTACAAATATATAAATCAAGTATATGAATAATTCCATGGTCACTATTGATAAATGCATACTTAATATGATTTGATGTTGTATGATGAAAAACACCTGAATCATCCTAAAAATGATAAGTAATTCGTATCATTTGACCATTGTATATTTAACTTTGCCTCTTCTTACACTTGCTAATGAACATTTTTGTTAAGCATCATATATATTAATATGATCATTTTCACTAATTAATCAAGACCTCTATCAGCATAAAAGATTTCATTACAATTTGTTAATTAATTTTTTTTTTGTTGTACTAAAATCCATAAAAAAAATTTAAAGCAACCCTTATGGCATTTAAATCAGATGAACGACGACCTTCACATACTAGAAAACAATATACATTTAAAATATCAAACAAGTTAGAAAAAATATCCTTCTGTTTTTTAAATGTTAGACCTTTTTAAGATCCTAACGTTCAATTCGAATAAATCATATCATTCAGAGTTTTATATTGAATTTCTTGATTCACTAGCATCTTTCGAACGTGGACCATTAACAGTATTTTCAAATAAAATAAAACAATTAATTTATTTTAAAAAATTCTGAAAAAGTTTACCTTTGTAAATGTATAAGAGGAACACCTTTTGATGTTGTAATTTCCAATCGTCGTGAATATTTGATTATCATGATCTAGCAAACAAATGTTTTATTTTACTTCTTTTTTTTGAAAACGAGAAGAATCTTACCAGCAGCAAATAAATTTAATGTTGAATGAATTATTAAAACCCAATATCGATCATTTTTCAATGATTTCATTTAAATTGAATTAAAATAAAATAAACTGTTTGTTGATATCCCAAAGTTGATCTATCGAACAGAACAAAAAAGAAGTGAATGATATGAACATACTTGAATATTGTGTGCTCGTCTGTTTCGTGTTCACAACTGAATATGGAAGGGAGAGAAGAATGAAAAAATAATATAGGTCACGACAATACCTTTTTTTCTTTTCTTCTCTCGTCCGTAAGTCGTCATTGTTCAGGTTATCATTGATGATCAATGATAATATGACTTAATCCATGTGTATATGTTGATGATAGCTTAATTGTTATCGCCTTTTGATCACTCTGACGAAAAAAAAAGTAAAATATCGACTTTTAACATATAAATATGAATGATTTTCCATGTAAAAATCATTCAATTTATTGAATCAAATATTAATCTTTTCTTTTTATATTTTAGAATGATTTCGACGATACAAAATTATAGAATTCAAATCAATACAACACAATAAAAAATGTAGGTATCAGTTTTTATTTTTTTTTCTCTATTGGATCATACAGAGGATGGTAAGTCCTCTTGTGATCTTTTATATTCATGTTTTTCTTTTCCTGTTAAAGACGTCGTCGTTCAACATCCACGGGTGAGTTAATTTTTTTTTCTTTTTCTTTTCTTCGTTGAGATGAAAATAGTTAGGGTGAGTGAGGTACGTTGAGGTGAGGGTTACGCTTTATATGAAGGACTTCCGGGTAGTCCCTAAAAGCCTGGCCAGGAACTGTCTTGGTGTCCGTGGCACACGATCGGGCCCCCAGACTCACTGACATATGACATCGGATGGATGCATGTAGATGATGTGGGTCTTTTTGCGCGTACACGAGCACTACGCTCGCCACGACTCCTCCAGGATGGTTCCTGGTCCCGCAGGCGAATAGAATAGCTATGAATTCATTTTTTCATTCAATCACGATGTATTTGTAAGAGAAAGAGAACAAAACAATAAAATTAATCATCGCATTGAGTTCATTCGATATTAAATCGTTGTACTTGATGATTTCCAAAATCGACGACATAGAGATTGCCATGTCGATCGAATGATAAACCTACGGGACAATCGAGTTGATTCGACTGTACTCCTTCACCGTTTCTACCAATGATGACAGTTCCCTGTGTGGCTCCTTTTGGCCAACGTATGATTCGATCATTTCCCCAATCAGCCACATAGACAGTACCCAATTGATCGACAACGACTCCTTGAGGAGCATTCAATTGTGTAAGACTATTTCCCGGTCCTTGACCACCGGCTACGACAATGCCTTGCTTTGCACCTTCTTCCCATTTCATTACACCATGAGTTTCATTATCAGACACATAAACTGAATGATCTCGGTCGACAAATACGTAGCGGGGTTTGGAGAGTTGATCGCGACGATTTCCTTGACCGTTGCCACCTGCAACCACTGTTCCTTGAGCACCACCAATTTTATATCGTCTCACTTGATGTTTTTCATTGTCAACGACATAGAGTGATCTATTCTCGTCCATTGTCAAACCGATGCAATCGATATTCGAAATAATTGTTTCTCCACTAGTACCATTTTGATAAGGCCATCGAACTACTCTTCCATTCCCGCAACCGCTGATGATGAGACTATCGCTCTCTTTGTCGACAATCACATCTCGTGGAGCATATAACTGATGAGCTTCATTTCCACCAGCAACCACTTTTCCATTCATTGCACCAGATTTCCATTCCACAATACGATGATTTCCCCAATCAGCGACATAAATCGTTTCATCATCATCTACGTACAAACCCCATGGATGAGCGAGTTGATTGGTTTCACTGCCTCGTCCATTTCCTCCAGCAACAGTGATACCATTCTGTGCCCATTTTGCATTGGGATGAATATTAATGGAACTTGCACGTAGTGATACTGAAATGAAACAAAAGTATGAAGTAGAAATAAACATCGATTTCATTGAAATGAGTCCTTCTCATTTATTTTAAAAAGTATTGAACTGCTCTCAATTACAAAGGCTTTTTACTTATGAACTTGATTAGAATCTGACTTTCTCGATGTTGAAAACAAACATGGTTGATTTTCAAATATTTTGTGTAAGAATTCTTAGTTTGACTAAAACTAACTAAAATTTAACTGGTAATGTGAAAAATTGCGATTACATCGGATTTTATCGTGAATGAAATTTCCTTTTATATCGAACTTTTTTAACATATTCACTGATTTCGTTAGTTCAACTTTTGAAGTATATTTAGATTTTGTGTCATCAATGTAAAAATCATTTCATTTTCTTGTTCGGATTTTACAATAAAATGAGCTATAATAGAATTTGAACGTGAGTAAAAATAATCGAATTAATTCAAATAGATCTTTGAAAAGTAACGTACGATGCAAAAGTAATGGTACGAAATGTTGATTCTTATTTGTTTTCGAGAGACATGTGCTGAAACAAAAAAGTTTGTAATCAAAGATAGAGCTTTTTCTCCTCTTTCGAACGGTATATGATCTATGTTCGTCACACATTTCTGAGTGAAATGAGACAAAGAAGAAAGACAAACACCGGCGGAATAAATTTGCAACTTTTATATGAATTCGTTAAAAACATCTTGCTAGACACTTATTCATTTGATCTTTCCGTACTCATTAAAAAGCTCTTGTAAAACTGTAGTTACTTTAGGTTTTATAAGCTCGTTAAAGCGGCTTGTAAAACGGTAGTTAATTATACTTAATTACTATCCACAAGAAGTTTTTGTCTTATATAAAAATTGCAAATTTTTTATGCGAGTATTTTTCTCTCTTATTCCATTTACGAATGTGTGACAAATACAAATCATATACCATTCGAAAGTATTTTGTGCCATTAATTTGGCATCATACGTTAAGTACTGTCTTATTATTGAGTAGAATTTCTTTCGATGTATGAAATGATTTTACAGTACAATAATTGTTGTCACCTAATTCGTCATCATAATTTTTCTATAATCAATCGTTCTATCCATAATTCGATCGATCACTTAAATAGGATTGAATGTCTGTTTTATTCCTGAATCTCAAACAAACAGGTAAGTATAGAACCAATCTATTAAATTTAAACAGAACTGAGCAACAGATTGTTTTTAATTGTTTGTAGAAAGACTAATCGAAGTGCTAAATAAGATAAGTTTAGATAAAAAATACGTAAGTTCGAATTTCACTAGATGAAAAAAAACTCAAACAAATCTCTTCCACTTAAGTTTCAACGATGAATGAACTATTGTATACACTTAAAATATATGTGTATATATTGAACTTTCAAAGTTAAATTCGTTTTATCAGATCAGAAAATTTTTTGTTCGAATGAATAACTCGTATATCATTTTAAAGAAGAAATCACAAGAAAGAATATCTAAATTCTCTTTCATTTTATCTTCGATTTAGTTGATGTTTTTGTTTGAAAAAAAAAAATTTCTGTCAATATAGACTAGAGTCATTGAAAAAATATCAATAATTTTCGTTAGTAAAGCTTCATGCTAGCTAAAGTTAGAAGTGACAAACGACACAGCTAAAATCGCTTAATGTCTTAGAGTTTAAAATTTAATCTCTACGAATATTGTTTATTCTAGATTGTCTTATGTTCTTCTACGTAGAAAGATAACATCGTGCTATGTATATACTTGTAGTTCAAGAACATCTGAAGAATCTGTCATGTTCACTAATTACATTGTAGCACACAAAGTGACCTATATATGAATCATCAAATCTTTTATTCTGAATTCATTTCTAATGTATTACAAATTTTCAAGTTAATAGGGTGTGAGTGTAGATGTATGGAATAGGCTTTTTCAAAACAATAGCAGATAAAATGATGGTTCTGTTAAGGATATCAAGTCGAGTATTGTAACTTAGATTAGCAGAGAATGTTAACACAAGTAAAGGAAATTTTGTAAACAAATTAATGCTGTCAAGTTTCGATCACGGGAAGATTTTTAGCTTTCTAAAATCAAGAGTTATCGATTCTTTACAACACAATACGCACCTACTATCAAAATCTTGATCTATAATCAAGTACAAGGATCAACTATTTCAAATTTTTGCAAGTTTACATTTTGTGAGTTATTCAATAAGTGTAAATTTTTACGGGTCCTCACAAAAAACGATTTTAAAGATTTTACCACGATTTTAGCTGATTTTTATTCAAGCTTCTAGTCAGAATTAGTGAATCTGTAGTTCATCACATGAATTTCAATAGCAATAAATGTGGGAATTTCTTTTCAAATTTTTATTGCATTGCATTTTGAACTGGTTATACCCTGGAAGAAAGTTCTTTTGTTTCTCTAAAATTTCCTAAAGATTGATATGTAACGCTCCCGGTTGACTGGATTTCATACATGATACTTAACCTTCCCATATGACTCACTCGTATATTATACATTGTCCTTATCTTTCTATTCTTATGCTTCTGTCCTTATTCTATTGTTCTCCTATATCGGCTCTCGCCTTGGCCTTATCTCCTCTCTTTTCATCCTCTCTTCTTCTACTTGCGTATATAAGCGTGTGCTATGTATGTAAACGATGTGATTATATGATATGAAGGAATAGAATAAAGTGTAATACCATCAGCACTAACATCCTTTCTATTATTATTCGTCACATTATTTTGATATTGATTTGAGCTTTAGACTAGAAATAGCGGTTATTTGTCTGATTATATCTTGAACAAACAGTTGACAAACTCTGCAATTTAAATATTACATTCAATGTACATAATCATTGAATTGATTATTTTTTTTGTTAAATAGTTCTTTTTGGTAACAGAGAATACGTTTAGTAACATCTATGCATAGTTTGGATTATGTGTATGTAAAAAAATAGAAGTAGACATTTTCTTATGTCAAATGAATCGATGAAATTAATGGGAGATGTGATGGAAATTTATACTCTACATAAAGCAATACTACCCAGGCCAATCGATACGGCCCGTATACGACCGAATGCTGTGAAAATACGGCCTGGTATACGATGCCATATTACAGAATTCAATATGACGAGAAAATACGGTCCATTTACGGTACCGTATGAAGCAAATTGACGGTGAAACTACGGATAGCTGTTTCGATCGAACCGGGCAATTTAGTGAAAATGTAAATTTTTCAACTAGAAGTCTTGCGTCTACGGAATTCGGCCGTATGCTCAGAGAAAAAAGAGTGAATCCTTGCAGGATCTAGCGCGAAAACACCGAAGATTTTTACTAGAAAACGATTGCGAGAAGTAACACATGAATAATCAACTTCACATAACAACAATGTATGTATCTAATTCTTGAAAGAAACTAAGTCAGAGAAAAAGATCCAACTCGATTATATGATGCGATACAACGAACAAACATATTATGACAGAGAAAAATCTTGTGAACAGAATATGTTCAAACAATGACGTCCCATCCATGAGAATGGAAAGTTTTCGTTATTTTTATTAGTCAAAAAGGTCGGAAATAAAAATAAACGCTGAGAATTTGCAAACTGTTTCTCAAAATATATCAATAAGTGATGCTTTTCTGTAAGATTGTGTAAAGTAACGGCGATAAAACCATAGTTGATTCAATTAAACGAGTGTCACGAGCATGAATATGTGAGATAGCAAAATTTTGAATGAATTCACAAAAAATCTTTCATTCAGCAGTACCCTGTCAAGTGAATAATGAAAAAATGGGCATTAAAATGCTTTATTATCTGTAGTTAGACCATTTCGGCCATTAAAATGCCTTCTTTCAGACGAATAATGGTAAAATGGCCATTATAATGAAGACAGATTCATTAATACATAATTTTGTCCATTTCACTATTGCGGACTCTGTTTTTTCGAAGTTTCAAGTTGATTTTAAAAAATGTTTCTAGCTTCAAAAATTTATATGGAATATTAGTATTAGCTTATCAAACATATTTTGTCGACAAAACAGTCAACAACATTCTTTCAAATTTAACCGCTTAAGTATTGATGGAAGTATTCGACCCTATGGAATCATACTTAGTAAACGCTGAAAAGTTAGTTTTTGTATGATAGTGATAGTCAATCTACAATTCTCGAATCGAAAAGGATTCTTTTTATAACAATGCTGAACTTAAACGTTTTGCTTCGAAAATTGAATGCCTGTATTTGATAACATCATTATCTTCATAGTAAGATAGATTCCATTATTTTTTGAAATAATCTACACATCTTGAGTAGCTGACCTAACCTTCTTTTTTATCTAACTCAAAAGAAACGATGAGTATTTGAGAACAATTAAGTACAAAGAACCTATTGAAGCAACAATGCAAATGATTAAGAAGTCAATTTTCCTATATGTTACAGACAAAATCTGAACTTTAATCATAAATTTTGAAATAAAGAAAACCAAAGTAGACATCTGTTTTAAATGAAGTTGCATAGTTAGAATTTAGACATGGATCTCTATTTTCCATTATGAATCACATTTTGATGGAAACTGCTATAAGATATCAACTTCTGTTGAGGTTAACTATTGATTCATATTGTTTATATGAGTATATTCTTTTTTCTAAGCTACAGTGTTTAGAAGAATCGAGGTAGACACATTTAATTTTTATATATTACCTTTTCGTGAAAAACAAAATGCATAATTTATCACATATTAATCTAACAATCTATAAAAAATTATATAAGGTATGTTCTTTTAAATCATACTGTGTAAACGTAATACTCTCGATTTTTACATGATACTGTTGATAATAACGAACACTTAAAAATATTTATATATACTTAATTTATTTGACTCTTTTACAAAAGCTCTCACTAAGTGAGTAAATATATATTCCCTAGTTCTTTCTACAGAAATATTTTTGTACTAATCGATCACTCAAGTCTTTAGTACGCAGCATGACATCACTTTTGTAATAATATAAAACATATCTTTGTATACATCTTTAATTGACACATCAGGTTTGAATCTAATAC